AAAAATAATTGAAACAAAGTTACAAATTAAATAACCTTCTAAATAATAATGAAATAACAAAATAATTCTTTTATCAATAAAACAAAAAATAATTTCACACTCGAAGACAATTGAATTATTGTGAATTCTTAGCATCTCTTAGTCTTCTAACGGTGGACCTAACAGTAGCACCAGAAATGGTAGAGAGTGTGTAAGCTCCACCAGCAATTTGTTTTCCACAACCTTTGCACTCCCAAATTCCACAAGCAGTTCTTCTTACAGCTTCCTTACAGCAGAATGGGCAAATATATTTAGAGTGTTGGGCAATTTCTATTTTCTTGATGACTTTACGAAGAGAAGCACCATATCTTGTTCCATATTTTCCGACAATTCCTACCTTCTTTGTTCTACGAGCCTAATTAACGATTATTATTTAATTCTTTTTAACTTTAATTAAACTTATGTTACTTAAACAAACCATCGATGTGTGTGCAAGACTTTTTAGTTCAAGGGTTTCTTTTTTCCCTTTTGATTAGTTATTATTTTTTTAATTATAAAATTACTATTTATTATTATTTTTATTTTTCAAAGAATTTATATTTTTGTTGATTATTAAATCACTGAATTTTTATTTATTTCATTCATTTTCTCTTTAATTTAATCTACTTGAATCTTCAAATTATGCATATTATTTTATTTTTCATATTAATCCTTTTTGAACAACAACTTATATGAAAACTTGAAATACAAACAATTCTTAAATTAATTTATTATAGTAATAAAATTAATTATCTTAAATAGGCAATATGTTTATATACCTTTTTAAAAACATAACTTAATTCTTATAATAGTTTTTTAAAAGAAGGAATGAATTTAGTTAATAATTTTAAGACTTAGTGTTATAAAAAAAATAAGTAATAAAATTCAATTTTGTTTTTATTCTTAAATAAGACAATTAATCAAGTTACCATTTAGAATATTATCCAGTATTTCAAAACTGAATGACATATCTTTTATACTTTCTTTTTATAAAAAGATAAATAAAAAATACATTCTTTTTCTTATTTGTTTCTGTTTGACAATATTTAAAGTAATAAATATTTCTTTTTTTATTGAAGAAATTAAATAAGATAATTTATCATTTGAAAATTGCCAAAAAAATATTTTAACTAAATTGAATATTTTGTTTACTATCTTCATAAACAATGCTTTATAGTTATTTATTATATCAAACAACTCAGAACTTAAAACTTTTTATTGTCAGAAATATAACAAAAAAATAAGTACTTAAAGAATGAAGAAGTTATATAAATTGTTTAAAAACACAATATAATGTCGAATGTAATTTATAAAATATGTGAAACTTATAACAACTTTTTGAAAGAAAAGTGATTAGTTAAAAATTATGGTATTATAATTTTCTAATTTAGTCACATTTACCCCTCAAAATTTATTTCTTTTATGATAAAATTGGACATTTGAGTAATTTAAAGACTATTCTATTTTCTATTAATAAAATTTTAAGTAAAAGTGTTTCAAAGAAAAGTTTACTTAGAACTTATTATACAAGGTAAGATAAATAAGAAAAGAATAAGAAGAATTAAAGAATGAAATGAATGAAAAAATGAAATGAATTGAACTAAATAATTAAAAAATTGAAAAATAAAGAAAAATGTTTTATAAACAGAAAAAGAAGATTTTTCAGAAAGAAAAGAGACAAATAAAGAAAGGTTTAAGAACTTAAAAAGATAAAAATAATAAGAAAAAGAATAGTTAAAAAAGTTAAAGAAAATAATTAAAAGAGGTGAATAAATCAGAGTTAATCCAAAAATTTCATTGAAAGGTTGGGTTGTATGTGATGGAGAAGAAGGTTGTTAAAAAAGAAAATAAAACAAGCCTACTTTCCATTTTTGGAGAGCAAGAAGGTATTATATTGGAATCAGAAATAAAAAGGTATCGTGTCTTAAAGATAGTTGGTCGAGGAACATTTGGAATTGTTGTTGGTGTTATAGATGAGGAACAACATATATTTGCTATTAAACGGATATTAGAAGATCCAAGACAAAAAGTTTGTTTTTATAAATTATCATTGTGTTGAGGTAGTAAAATATGAAATGAGTGAATAAAAGATATTAATAGTTGTAGAATAGGGAATTAGGTATTATGAAAGAGTTAAAACACCCTAATGTAATAGAATTAGTAGATCATTTCTATACAGTATTGCCTAATGTTTGTTTTTCTTAGATTATTATTATGAAAGTATTTTATTGTTAAAAGAGAAAGAAGTAAGTAATATTTTTATTATTATGACTTTCTAATAACTAAGTGAATGAGAATTCTTTATTTAATATAAAAAATTAAATGCTAACTTTTTGCAGTATAAAGAACCATGTTTGAATTTAGTCACTGAATGTTATCCTGAAAGTCTTCACCAAATGTTACATGATTATGCAGCGGAGCAGTTACCAATTCCATTAAGACATGCACGGTTATTCACGTATCAACTATGTAGAGGACTAAGTTATATACATTCAAAAGGAATATGTCATCGAGACCTAAAACCACAAAATATCTTAGTTAATCGACAAAATTTAGAATTAAAAATATGTGACTTTGGAGCAGCTAAAGTCCTTGAAGCAAACCAACCAAATACGGCATATATCTGTACAAGATATTATAGAGCACCAGAACTAATATTTGGGTGTGTTGATTATACTACTTCAATTGATATATGGAGTGTTGGATGTATTATTGCAGAGTTATTAACTGGTCAAATACTTTTTCGAGGAATGACAACTTCAGATCAATTAGTGAAAATTTTCTCCATTATTGGTTCTCCTTCAGTCGAACAGGTCTTGGCTATGAACCCAAATTCTCCTTATACTAAAATTCCTCGTGTTAATGGAAAGGGGATGAATGAAGTGTTAATGTATACTGACTCACCTGATAACGCATATGAATTATTAGAAAGTATTCTTCAATTTGATCCATCAAAAAGACCAAGTGCTATGGAAGTTATGTTACATGACTTCTGTAAAGACATGTTTAGAGAATTAATGAAACGGGATGGAATTGGAGAATGGACCAATTATACTGTAGATGAATGGTCATTAGCTGATCAAAGAAACTTAGTAGGTAGATTGAAAGAATTCTGTATGTTAGAGAAGAGGAGAAAAGAGAGATATTCAAAGAAGTGATGTGTTTTTAAATATATCTTGATTGGATCTGTGTCTTGTCATTTTTAATTTAGTTTAAATTTAAATTTTTTTAAATTAAATAAAAAAGAAAAAGAATAGATTAATTATTTAAAAAGTTGTTTATTTGTAATAATTTGAAACTTAAAAATTATTTCATAATTTGAACTAATAAGTTAAGTTCATGGAGAGTGAAATTCAATTAGCACATTTTAGAAAAATACATTATATCGTTATGACTATATTCTTAATTTTATTCTTTTTATTTACAATAATATTAGGAATATTTGGACCTTCAGAATATTCTTTAAAAACACAAAGTGGTTTTAAATCAGTAGAAGGAGATGGGTTTCAATTTACATTACCTCTATTAAATAAGAATGAATTAGAATTAAAGGTAATGTATCAACAAAAGATAAATATTAATAATAATTATAATATGACACTATATGAAAAAAAGTCACAAGCTATTGAAGTAAATTTTATTGATAAAGATGATAAAATTAATGAAACTAAAATATTTAACTTTACATGTACATATAGAAAAGATATTATTTGTGGTAGAGTAGAAATTATTGAACAAAAAGTATATAGAAAAGGAAAAGGTATAATTTCATTAAAATTAATTGATAATGAACCACAAGATGGTATTAAAGTTTTAGGGAATCTTAATGTATTTACTTCAACAGATAGATATACACAAATTAATATATTATATTCATTAATTGTATTTAGTATATCTGTAATTATTTTTATTGTCTATGTTATTATAGAACTAAGATATTTACAGAAGAAAGGAAGATTTAATGGATTACAATTAATGAATGGATTATTAGTATTTGCTGTTGTTGGTCATACATTTCCATGGAATGCTGTTGCTTATTCAATTCAATGGATTGGAGTTTTTGCATTAAGTAAAGCATCATATTCAGTATTTAATGTTGTATTTATTTGTTATTTATTCTTTATGCTTGATTCATTTATGAAAGTTTGTTTATTTATTTAATATAAGAATTATAAAATTAATAAAATATTAAATTCATTTAATTAGCAAAATGGAACTTCATCAAAAAAAGTAGTTTGGATAACTCGAGTATTACTATTATCTGTTTTTGTTGTTTGTAGATTAACAAATACAACTCTTCATGCTGTATGTTCAGTTCAAAATGTATTAATTCCAAAAAATACTCTTCATAGTACCTCAATATTTTTTGATGTTATTGAAGGGTTATTATATTTCTTCCTTTATTCATGGGCATTATACCATCTTGCTATGACATATAATAAAGTAACTATTCCTATTATTCAAAAACAATTAAATTATTTTGCTGCATGTACTGCTTTATTTTTATTAGTACTAATTTTCTTATTATTCTTTTCAGGTATTATTTCTGAAGAAACAACTTTTGCTACATACTTTGAAAATGGAAGTATGGTTGTTTATTTAATATCAATGTTATGCGCTTTTTTACCTTCATTATCTCCAGTAAAAAATGAATGGTCAATATTTTATAATGAAATGGATGATGACCAACCATTATATGATGAAGAAGACTAAATAACTTTATACAAATTCAAGTCTATATAGTCGGTTTGTTTTCTCATTAAAATAAACAAGTAAACAAATAAAATAATATTTTTCAATCGATTGTTTTATAAAGAAGATAAATGGAAATAACCCTTTTTTGTTTCAGAACTAAATTTTCAAATAAAAAATAAAATAATAATAATAAAATTAATTATTATATTTAGTTTTTAATATAATGAAAAGGAGTTAAGAAAGAATTAAAAAAGAATTGTTAATTTAACTGGTTATTGTTTTAGTTAATGTCTCTTCCTAATCACCGCGAAGTACCTTCAGAATTTATTAATGAAATTGTGTATTATGCCTGTGTTGGGGGACATATAAATGAAATGGTTCCATCTATTTTATTATTTAGTTTTGGAGATAGAACAGTTACTGTCTATCCAGAATCTTCTTTCTATACACCAGACGGACCAACATCAGAAGAATTTTTCTTTTCTTCTTTTGATTGTGCATCAGTTGTTGATAGTCAAGACATAAAAATGATTAAAATTGAATTTTATACAACAAGAAATTTATTTATTCGAACAAATAATATAAGTGATCATAATGCGTTATTGACAATATTTAGAACTATCACAAGAAATATTCGGACTTTATTCAGAAAAGATTTTTTAGCTTTAGACTGGCAAGAAAAAATTAAAACTTTTAATTGTACTTTCAGAGGAAAAACTGATCCTTTAGAATTTACTATTTATAATGGAATTATAACAATTTCTTATAAAAAATCAAAAATTCCTTGTATTGTTATTCCAATGGATTCTACTGTTACTATTTCTCGTAGAAATTCTTTACATATAACTTCTACTTTAAGAAAAGTATTTCTTTCACTTTCTTTAGATGATTTAAATGAATCAATTTCATTATTAGCAAATTGTAGACATAGAATTGTTCCACCTCCTAAAATTATTACAGACACACAAGCTGGTAGATTATCAGAATTATTAAGTTATGCACAACAATTAGTAGAAGAAGATGGGTTATATCCAGAAGAATGTCTTGAACATTTTGATGAACTTTGTGAGGTTTTAAAATACATTGGAAAAAAGAAATATGCAACAAAACAACAAAAAATATTAGTGACTGAAAAATTAATAAAAAAAGAAAAAGATGAAACAACTCCAGAATTTAAAGAAGATGATTTAATGCAATATGTTTCTCAAACTAATCCTTTCGTAGAAGTAAGAAGACTTGAGTCAATTGGTAAAGGTGGATTTGGTGAAGTTTTTAGAGCACAAAGAAAATCTGATGGTACTGTTCTTGCACTAAAAATATTAAAACATACAGTGAAAGAAAGGTATTCAAAATTAGGACAAGAAATTGCACGAATGGCATTATGGAAACATGAGTTTTTAATACAAATTGATAAATGTTATTTATTTGACAATAGGGTTTATATTACAATGCCATATTGTAATTGTGGAAGTATTAAACAAGTAGTTAAAGATAAAAGTCATGTATTTACATTATGTGATGTTTCATATGTTATTCAATGTTTATTAATGGCACTTGAATATATTCATTCTCAAGGGTTTATTCATAGAGATATTAAACCTGCAAACATATTAATGATGGATGATGGAGGAGTGAAGTTAATTGATTTTGGACTAGTTGTACGTAAGTCATTAAATCCTCATACTCGTTCTGGTTCAAAGCAATATATGGCACCAGAAGTTGTATTACAAAAAGTTTATGATGAAAAAGCAGATATTTGGAGTGTAGGATGTGTTGCTCAAGAATTAGCTGAAGGTAAAAGTCCATATCGAGAAGATGGTATTGTTAAATTATTATTTAGAACTGTTACTAATGGAGCTATGGGTTTAAGAAGAATTAAGTATTGGGATAATATATTTGTAGACTTTGTAGAACAATGTTTTATTTATAATCCAGAAAAGAGGTGGTCTGCAACCCAACTTTTGAAACATCCATTTATTGAGTGGGCACCAACAAGTTATTTCTACAAAAAATATCATCATATTGAGAATAATTAAACTTAATAATGTTTCATATTTATTTTCAAACTTTTTAATTATTCTTTTTTACAATTAAAAAAAAATAAATAATAATAATAAAAATATTATAATTATTATTAAAATGAAAATAAAAGAGAAATAACAATCATAACAGTAATCAATTTAGATAGGTCCATTTCCAAATACATCATCATTAAATGAATTCATTGGAATACTTGGATCATTAATATCAATAGACTCTTGTTGAATGGTTCTTGGATCAATTTCAGCTGGTTTCAACATTCTTGGATCAGCAACAAAAACAAGATTTGGATTTCCAGTAAGTTTTCTAGCAATCCACAAAAATGGTCTTTCAAAGTTATAATTTGATTTAGCTGAAACATCATAATATTGTAAATTCTTCTTTCTGTGGAATGTAATTTGTCTTTGCTTAACTTTTCTATCTTTTACATCACATTTATTACCAACAAGAACAATTGGAATATTTTCACATACACGAACAAGATCTTTATACCATGTTGCAACATTTTTATAAGTATCTCTTGATGTAACATCAAACATAATAATTGCACAATGTGCTTGAACATAATATCCATCTTTTAATCCTCCAAATTTTTCTTGTCCAGCAGTATCCCAAACCTCAAATCTAATTGGTCCACAATTTGTATTGAAAAGCATTGGGTGAACATCTACACCAATGGTTGGAATATATTTCTTCTCAAATTCTCCTGAAAGATGTCTTTTAACAAATGTAGTTTTTCCTGTTCCTCCATCTCCTACAATAACAAGTTTAAATGTTGGAATACCGTCTGGTTGTTGCATTATGTTTTAAAAGTTCTACATATCATCTTTAAATATAATAAAACAACCCTCAGGGTTCACTTCCATTTTCTTTTTTACTTTTTCGTTGACTTTATAGTTTTTCTTTAATTATTTTTTACTTCTTTTTCTTTCTTAATAGTTCACAAAAAAATTCACATCTTTTTGTTTTTTCTTTTTTTTTTTAAATTATTACAAAATCTTATAGTTCTATTTAATGAACATATAAATTAGATCTATCTTATCGTTTGAAGAAAATATAATTGTTGTTTAGTATGCTCTGTTAATATATACTTTTTTGAGATATCAATTATTTGATCAATAAATAATGAACTAATACTTTTACAAATATTTGGTTGATGAAGAATCCAAAATAAGAGTTCTATAACCTTATCTAATAGTGTCTGTGATAAAGATGCCATACACTCTATTAATGATAAGAAATTATTTGAAGAAAAGATTATTTGAAAGAGATTATGATATCTACAACACATTATCAGAAATAGTCCAACATCATTTTGATTCTCTACTGAAATAAATGAACAAAATAACATTGAAGTACAAACATTTAAGAAAGTTTTATTAATTTGATTGAATAATGATTCATGAATATCAATAGATTTATATATAAGAAGAATCATTGATAGTGTTATTGTTTGATTTTCATTCATACTAATCTTTGCACATAACCAGTTTTGTATAATTTGTTCATATAATACAAAAACCATTCCATTAGTATATAATGACATAATTTCTACAATATGTAATACATTTTCTTTAATACAAATGTCTTTTAATTCAAAACTTCTTAATATATTTTGTAATGTTATTTCAGTTAGAAAATTTGGACATAATTCATAAAGTGATAATACTTCACAAATAATACTATCATTGTTCATAATTGCATCATCAAGTGTTTTTTCTAATTTATTTCTTATTTCATTAATAGAAATTTGGAATAATTCATCTCCACCTTCTAATCTTTGATAATATAATCCACAACATTTCAATGTCCATAATACTAATTCATTTATTTCTGGTAATTTAAGAGTTGTTTGAATCATTTGGTTTACAGTTTTTCTTCCTTGTTCATTATAACTTAATTTTTTATGACATAATAAGTTTGTTAAACACCATAATGCTTTATTTCTTGATTCTGATTGTGACTTTGAACATTTAATTAATGAGTCTAAACAACCATTTGCAATAAGGTATTCAGAACCATTCTGTAATGATGAAATATTTATCATTGTTATTAATAATTCATTTTGAATTAGTCCTGGTAGTTTATTAAGTTTCATAATAGGTTGACTCAATAAACCTGCCATCAAAAATTCTTCTGATAAAAACCCATTTTCAACTTCTTTTTCACTTGCCCTCCTTAGTGCTTGAGTTCCATGATACTGATCAATAAGTCTTTTAGAATTTAACAAAGAGTATATTTCTTCATAACTTTTTAATTGTTCATCATCAATTTCAATAATCCTTTTTTTTGCCATAAAATTTCCTCTTCGAGATAACCGAATTAATTGTCTTTCACTTTGTCTGTCTTTTATAAAGGAATTTGGATCTCCACTTTTTCTGTACATCCAAAAAGAATAAATCAATAAAAATTTGAGATTTTATTTGAACTTTGTTATTTTAACATAAGTTTATTTTTTTTTAGGTTTTAAAATAATGTTATTAATATCATTTTTTAACTGATTTTGAATTAATATTATTTCTTTTTTTTTTCCATGTGAAAAACTTAAAAATAAAAAATTAAGTTAAAGGATCTAAGAAAAACTAAAGTCTTTAATGTATTCCATTGATTGGAGATTAACACAAGTTTTTGGAGGTGACCGTTCGATTCAAGATGATATCAGTGATCAAGACACTGTTTCTACAATTGAATTTTCACCTAATGGAGATTATTTAGCAGCAGGTGATTATGGAGGACGAGTTGTATTGTTTAAGAAGTCAAAAGTTTGTTATGTATAACCAAATGATTTATTAAATTCTAATTACTTATAATTAATAGAACGACGAATTAGGTAAAGTTGATTTTAAATTCTGGACAGAATTTGCATCACATGAAAAAGAGTTTGATTGTCTTAAAAGTTTAGAAATTGAAGAAAAAATTAATGTTGTTAAATTTGTTCATCAACCAACTGATGACTTAACATTATTATTAACAACAAATGGTTTGTTTTATTTTTTTTTATCATTTCTTACATAATAATAATGTTAAATAGATAAAACAATCAAATTATGGAAAACTGCATCAAGAACTATGTACACTACACACTATAAACATGGATCTGAAATTCCTGAATATGTCCCTGATCAACAAACAATGTTCCCTGAATTAAAACAAACATATGGTAATTACCATGGATATCCAATACACTCATTATGTCCAATGGGTGATATGGAAACCTTTTTATCAGCAGATTTCTTAAAAGTCAATTTGTGGAATTTTGATTATTGTGACTCTTGTTATAACTTAATTGAATGGAACGTTGATGAATCAAAAGAATTAATCACTTGTGTAGAATCAAAAGAACTTAGTGATCATATATTCATGTATGGATCTTCTACTGGAACAGTACGTTTATGTGATATTAGAGCAACAAAAACTTGTTCATCTGCAGTCAAATGTTTGTTTTAATATTGTAGTAATAAAATTTATAGAAAAGTTATAATAATAAAATAGTCTTTGTTAATTCAGATGATTATTCCGCTAATCCACAACGACAAGAATCATTCCCTTCTATTTCGTCCATTAAAATGACAAAAGATGGTAATACTTTAGTAGTTAGAGATTATCTGTCAATTAGAAAATTCGATTTACGTAAATCGGATGGACCACTTTCTATTGTTCCAATTCATGACCATCTTATTTCTAGATTTTCTGAACTTGAAGCTAATGATGTTTTATATGATAAATTTGATCTTTCATTAGATGGTACTAACCAATATTGTGTTACTGGTAGTTATGATAGAGAATTTATTGTTCATGACTTAAAGAATAAACAAACATTACCATTACTTAGTCATAGATTCCAACCTAAAGTTCTTGCTCCATTACCACAAACTATTCCTCGTAATTCTATTCCAAGCAATGAGCCTCTTTCAACAAAATTATTAATGAAATACGCACCAAGAGATCATCTTCCAGGAATGCCAATTGATTATTCAGCTAAAGTGGCATTGACAAGATTCCACCCAACAGAAAATCTTATTGCAACAGCTGTTAGTAATAATCTTTATATTTTCAATGGTTATTATACAATGGGATAATTTATTCCTTGTGTATGAATGATATAATGGTTATACTTCAATCTATTTTGTGTTTTTTTATAATTAACAAAAATATAAAAAGTGATAAACATTATAATTTATTTTACTATAATAAATAATTAAATCAAAGAAACGAAAGTTTAACTAAAAAAAAAGTAAAATAGAAAGAATAAATGACAACAACATTATTTCAATTGAAGAAGAATAACCAAATTCAATTTTTCATTAATACTAAAACCACTCCTACAACCAATCGTAAAACTGAAAAACTCACTGCTATTTCTACTTGTCTTGATGATATTATTAATGGTAGAAAACCAACACTCTCATATGATATAGTTTATAATTATATTTCTAATTTATGCTACTCTCCTGAAGGAAATATTATTGAACAAATCACAAGTATTGTAGATTCAACCCTTACTTCATTAGCTTCATTAACCAAACAACGATTAGTAATAGAGCCATCTTTGATTCAACTTCATCAACAATACATTATATTTTCAAAAAAATTAGCTCTTTTACGAAATTTACTTCTTCCTTATGACCGTATTAGTAATAAAGACCCATTAATTTCAAAGGCATTTAGTTTATTCCGTGAGGTTGTATTGTCAAATAATACAAATACCATTATTGATATGTTAATTGTTCTTATTAATACTTTAAGAGCAAATAATTCAGATAATGCTATTGTATCTTCTCTTGTTAGTATGATGTTTGATTGCAATTTACAAAATCAATTCAAAGACAAATTATTAAAATCAACAAGTGAATTTTACTCATCTGCAGCTCAAAATAAAATATCTGAAACATTAGAAGATTATCTAAATACTGTTAAATCAATGTTTGATAGAGAAGAACATATTGCACAAGCCTATTACCCAACAATGAAAGTTGATACTGTTGCTTTCACTGAAAAAGAATTAATGACAGAAACACTTCCATTAATTCTAACAACTAAATTAACTCAACTAAAACAATTTATTTCACAACAAAAAACTTCTTCAATATTATTATTTATTTCATTAGGAAGTCGAGTAAAAAAAGATGAAGATATTCAGAAGGCATTAATTGGTGTTATTGTAACTTTAGGTAAAGAGTTTTGTTCAGAAAAAGATGAAAAAGCAAAAATAAATAAAATATTTTCATTATATGATTATCTATCACAATTAGAAAAACAAGCCCCAATGATTAATAACATTATTAAAATATCATTTGAAAAATTCATTTCATCATTTGATAATGATATTGCTATTGCATTAGTGAAGTTTGCTGATAGAATGTTAAGAAAAGGAGGAATGAACCAACTATGGGCAAGTAAAATATTACAAATATTTAAATTTCTCAATGGAAAAGATACATTTGAACAACATTATCAATTGTTATTATCTAAACGATTATTATATAAAGGATTCCAAGCTGAAGATGAAAAGATTGTATTAGAACAATTAAGAGAAGAATGTGGCAATTCATACACATTTAAATTAGAAGAAATGGTTAAAGATGTTGAAACAGGAAAAGGATGGTATCAGTCTTTAAATAAAGAAATGAATAATAATGGTATGAACGGTCAATATGGAATGGTTGTTATTAATGGAACATCATGGCCAGCATGTCCTACAATTAGATGTATTTCATTACCAAAAGAAATTGAAAAAGGAGAAGAAATAATGAGAAAATGGTATATTAAAGAACACCCAAATCGTAAAGTTGATTTTAATCCATTATTAGGAATTGTTTCTGTAAAAGCACATTGTTTTGGTGATATAGAAATTACGATGAATGTGTTACAATTTGAAATTTTAATGAATTGTGAAGGTAAAACTATTAAAGAACTTAAGAGTAAATTTGAAGGTGAAGAGGATATTTTAATGTTACAAATTAAAAGTTTAATGGGAAAAGAGAAATTAATTTGTATTCAATCACCCGATGGTAAAATAAAAAAACCTGAAGAAATAAAAGAAGAAGATGTTGTTATGTTAAATTCTAATTATCATAACAATAAACCTAAAATCAAAATTAATACATTCCAAACTAAAGAAAGTAAAGAAGAAAAAGAAAAAGTTGATGAAAAGATTGTTAAAGATAGAGAAACAAGAATTGATGCTGTTGTTGTTAGAGTTATGAAAAAAGAAAAGAAAATGACTGTTTCAGAATTATTAACTACTATAACACCAAAACTTGATTTTAAACCAGATGTAGAAGAAATTAAACAAAGAATAGATAAATTAATTGAAAGAGAATATTTAGAAAAGGATGAAAAAAATGAAGACGTCTTACTCTATTTGGCTTAACATATTAAACATAAAAACTGATTTATTTTAATTGAGTTCAGTTTAGATGAAAAAAGGTTGGTCTAAGTTATTTATATAATTCATAAAAGATTCTAGAAATAAAGAAAAGATAGAGAGAGGCAAAGAATTTATTTATGTCACCATAACAAAAATAAAATGGAAAATAAAAAAACTTAAAAAAGAAAAATTACCAAAACAAAGAACAGAAAAGAAAAAATACAACAAAAAATGAGAGTAATTCACCAAAAATAAAAGAAAAAAATAAAAGAAAAAAAAGAAAGAAAAAAAGAAAAAAAATGCCGAAAGGAGGGCAAAGAAAGAGAACTTAAAAATCAACATATTAGAATGGAGGAAGAAAAACCAAAAAAACATTCTGTTGATGAAAGAAAACGAAGAACAGTTGATTGGCTTGGGGATAGACTAGTTGAAAAGATTGATAGAGACCATTATATGTGTATTATTTGTTTCAAAAGAATGTCTAGAGGTTATGCATGTTGTCATTGTATTGAGGAACATCAAGACATTACAGATGAATTAAAGCCGTATGTTGTTAAAGCATATACTAATGGCAAAAAAATTAATGACGAATTAATGGATATGAGAGAGGAAGAATTAGAAAAAGAAAAAAGAAAACAAGCTGAAAAAGCTGAAAAGAATTTACCAGAAACTGAAACAACAATCACAGGACAACCTCCTATTAACAAGGATAATAAGACAAAGAAAAGTAAATCTACCAAAATGTCTCCTGAACTTAAAAGAAGACTTGAAAAATTAGAAAATGAAGGAAAGGCTAAATGGGAAATGAAACCTAAAAAAGAAATTGAAAAACAAAGAACCTCAGAAGGAAAACGAGTTACTTCTGAAATTAGTAAAATTATGGCTTCAAATGGTATTCCTTTTGCTAAAAGTGATGCAGTATGGAAAATAGTTACTGAAGTCATTAATAGTACAACTGAACTTGGTCCACAAGTATTAGAAAAAATACGTTTTAGTGCAAGAACATTAAAAAGAAGATATGATGAAGCTTATCTTTCACAAAATAAACCAACTCAATTACAGCCTTCTAATTCAAATACTGACCAACTCCAAGAAACAACAACTCCAGCCCAAGTTACTCAACAAGTTTTTCATTCTCGACAGATGGTTATTCAGCCAATCGTTCAAGAAAGGCAAATGTCAGAAGCAGTAGTACCTCCTGTGTCTAATACTGATTTGTCTTAAACCAAAACAGTTTAATTTATTTTTTTTTCATTCATTTTTAATTTATCTAAAAAAATCAATTAAAAATTATCAGAATTAAAAGGAGGTAACATAGATGCGTTCGAATGGGGTTGAGATACTTGTGGTTGGACTTTTTGTTTATTTATCCTATTTCTTGAGTTTTCAATATTTCTCCATTTATCTTTTAAATCAACACAACTTCTACCATCAAATTTATAAGCATTTAAGATGCTTTTCCAATGTCCAATACCAAATTGTTGAACTCCTTCGATTAAGTTTTGTGTTTCTTCTTCACTAAATCTTCTTTTCTTTTTCTTTAATTTACTATGTTCATCATCTTCCATTTTTGGTTTTGTTGCATCTTGGCTTTTAGAATTTAATGCCTTTTTTTTTATATTACGTTCTTCTTTTTCTTGTTTGATTTTAGGTTGTACTTGCATAAGTTGCCTTTGTTGTTGGGCCAGTGGTTGTGTACTAGCAGGTAGTTGTTGATTTTGTAATGTCTCAAAAGTTTCTGGTTGTTGTTGAGTTAAGAACTCTTTTACTTTTGGGTCTTCTCCTAATACAATTGATTGAAATGTTGATGAGTCAAGGTTCATAGCCGTTTGTATTTCTTTAATTGAAATAAAATCAGTTGTAGGCCATGAAAATGGTTTAGAAACAACTCTACCATCAAGATATCCATAGAAAACATCTCTTAATGTTGATTGTATACTACTTTCTTTATATTGATATAATAATTGTTTAATATGATCTATTGTCCTATCTAATGGGTACCGAGAAAGGATATATTGTACGTCAGGTATAGTTGATAAATATTTAAAGCTATCAGTTGTTTCATCTTTTGGTGGTGCTTTTAATAATGCCTCTGTAGCAGCTAAACAATATTTTCTAGATGAGGCTACATATGGTTGTTCAGAGGCTGCAGGAAGTAAAATATTTAATTCTCGATTTAGTTCACTTGGTTGTATTTGAGAACGCGCAAACATATGAAACACAGAAATCATTCCAACTATTCCTATCAATGAAGGAACAGTTTTTAATATTTCTGCATTACTATCAGAACAATAAATTTGAATTACATTAGCTATAACTTTTGGTAAATTCTCTACTTCACAACATGGTGGTTCTACACATTCAAGAAATTGAATAACAAATGCCAATGATCTTTTATTATGAAGAGACTGTGGAATGTCTGATTCCATGAATACTTGTTGTGTTAAACATTGTTCAAAAAGATCAGAATTAATTCCTGAATCAATAAGATATTCGCAAATTGATAATAATGTTTTTTTATGATTATCATACAAATTAATTTCGTCAATTTGATTTTGTTTTAATTGGTCAATAATACGACGTGCTGAAGGACATTTGTCATCGTTCATAGTATTGTTTTGAGTGTTCATATTTTTAATTGTTCTTTTTTTAGTTTTTTCTCTCATAAAAGTCGATTTTTATTTTTTAATTTATTTTTTGTTTTTTCTTCTCTCTTTTAATCTAAAAATAGATATGAACTTTTTTGTTCTTCAATCAATTACTCTTCTCTTTCTTTGGAAGTTGACAGAATGAATGGTACAA